CCCAAATTCACCCTGGGGACAGCTCTGTCACCTCTGTGTAGTAGCCCTGGGCTCTGGCAGCCCCGTGCCTCAGTTTCCCTGGATCCACAGGACATTCCCAGCTCCAATCTCAATCCCTTTATTTATATTTTTTCGGGGGGGACACACAATTCATTAACACTGATGTGCTAACGAGGCTGGAGGAGGGGGAAAAAATTCCCTGTCCCTGAGTGTGGGGGGTGAGAATCAGCTGGAAAAGTTTTTTTTTTCTGGGTGGGCAGGAAGATTTGGGGGGCTCAGGATGGAGGAGGAGGAGGGAGAAAAGGAAAAGAAGGAGGAAGAGGTCTCACCTTGCCACCTCCAGCGACCCCTCCCCATAATTTAAGATATAAATTAGGCTAATGATGAGCTGGAGAGGAATTAGGGGAGAAACGGGGGCAGAACCCCGTAATAAATAACCCCAGAGGAGGAGGGGGAGGAGGAGGATGGAGGAGGAGGATGGAGGAAGAGGATGGAGGAAGAGGATGAAGGAGGAGGATGGAGGAGGATGGAGGAAGAGGATGGAGGAAGAGGATGAAGGAGGAGGATGGAGGAGGATGGAGGAGGATGATGATGGAGGAGAAGGATGGAGGAAGAGGATGAAGGAGGAGGATGGAGGAAGAGGACGGAGGAGGAGGAGGAGGATGGAGGAGAAAGATGGAGGAAGATGATGAGGATGGAGGAGGAGGATGGAGGAGAAAGATGGAGGAAGATGATGAGGATGGAGGAGAAGGATGGAGGAGGATGGAGGAAGATGAGGATGGAGGAGAAGGATGGAGAAGGATGATGGAGGAGGAGGATGAGGATGGAGGAGGATGATGAGGAGGAAGAGGATGAAAATCTCAAATCTCCAACAAGCTTCCAGGCTCGGGGCTGCCGGGATCTTTGCCGGGAGACGCCGGCGGTTGCCGCGGAGACACGGGAGGATGCTCAGGAGCTTTGGGGGTCGCTGTCTCCGCGTGTGTTTTCTGATGTTTGCTCAGGTGGTCGCTGCGGGTGAAACGTTTGCTGCAGAGGAGACAAGTGAATTTCTTCTCCCTCGTGTGGGTCCGGACGTGTCTCTCCAACTCATCGCTGCGGGTGAAACGTTTCCCACAGAAGAGCCAGTTGCACACGAAGGGTCTTTCCCCCGTGTGCCAACGCAGATGAGCCTTGAGGTGCGAAGCTTTGCCGTACACCTTCCCACAGCCAGGAATGTGACAGCTGTGCACGGGTTTCCTCCGAGACCCCCCAGGTCCCCCCATCCTCTCCAGCTCCTGACAATTCGGACAATCACAAGCAGGACGAGCCCCTAGAGAACCCCCGCGGGGTCCCTTGGGGGTGGCATCGCTGGCTTTGGGCGCGGGGGGCACCGAGGGGGAGTTGCTGTAGGGAGGAGGGTTCAGAGCGCTGAAATCCGAGGGGTAGGAGGGCAGAGGAGGACTCAGCGTGGGTTGAGCTTGGAGAGTGCCCTGTAACCCCTC